AAAAAAAAAATTGTTTTCAAATTATTACTGATTTGATTTTTAATATGTTAAAAATATGCAGTCAGGAAATTTTATAATTACTATTGTATAGTAAATTTATCAGAGTAACTCAATATTTTTTTGCATTTTTATCGAAATAGATAACTTAAATAGAAATAATAGTAATCATTTCATAGTATCTTTTGGTGTTTAAGAAGATACTACAATTAAAATATGAACTGAATTAATTTTAATGTTTTACTTTAACTAAAATAACCAATAAATAGATACGAATTGTAGTAATTTGACGTATTGTTGAAAAAAGTAGGTCAAGTTAGAGCAGAGAAAATATATGATAGTCACAAAAAAATATCTTCTCAGCTTTGCATCGAAGCGAAAACTTAATATAAAGTAAAATAATTTTAATACGAATAAGAAATTTCTTCTTGCAAGGGGCGACTAATGTGATGGGATCCTTGATCTTTATTGAAGTTATTGAATCTAAATGTGATAAAAATCAAACGAGTTAAAAATGTATACTAACTTAAAAAGAATTAAGAATTTTAACACAAAAATAGCAAATTTTTGAATACGGTAGTCATTTTTACCGTGAAGACAAATCCAGAGGTTTTAATTTTACGGGGAACGAGGGAATTTTTTTCAATTTTTGAGGGTAATGTCTTCGATNAACTTTTTTTTGTAAATTAAATATTTTTTGAGAAAATTAAAAAAGCTCATATTTTTGAACTTTTGCGAGGCTGTAAAAAAAAATCTCAATTTCAATCAATGAGGACTATTAGTATGTCATTATACATATTTTAATTCAACTTTTAGAAAAAAAATTTTGATTGGGAATTTTTTCCGCAATTTTTCCTTTGTTGACTGGCCTAGATGTCAATTTTAGACTTGTAATTGAGTTAAAAGTTATGGTAATATATTCAATTTTTTTTACTTTAAACTTTCATAAATCTTTATAAAAAAATTTTCATCAACTTTAAAAAACCAAAAAAATAGGATAAAATTGAAAATTTGGACTGATTATTTTTAACATATTAAAAATCAAATCAGTAATAATTTGAAAACAAATTTTTTTTTTCTTTTAATTATTATTTTATATATAATTAGTAATAATATAAAAAATAAAGACAATGACATATTTAACCTATTTTTTAATCGTTTAAAGTTGATTTTTGTGAATGTTTATAATAAAAAACAATTTATTTATTTTACCAACTTTTAGAATAAAAAAATAAAAAAACACATCATAGTAAAATTAATACCTTCTCAGCTTCGCATCGAAGCTAAAAAACACATCATAGTAAAATTAATACCTTCTCAGCTTCGCATCGAAGCTAAAAATTATTTAATTAAGAAAATGACTGATTGGTGATAATTTTTGACCCATTATTTCTCAATTTACAACTATTTTAAAATATAGAGTGGAGGTGATGTGAGAATATATTATTTATAGAATTACGCATTATTATGTCGAGCTCTTCGTCCACTTTATATTGAAGTTATATTTATGTTATTAACATTTGAAATACTATTTCAAAAATTGTTTTTGATCGGTCATTTTTTTACTTATATCATTTTTATATTATTGTCTGGTTAAATATGTATGTTGTCATTGGACAAAGTAAAATTGAGACCAGTATAATATATAAAGGATGAATTAAATAAATATTATAATTTATGAATCGATAAATATATGCAATTATAATATATTTAAAAATGTCAACTTTATTTCAGCTTCAATGCGAAAATAAGATGGTATTAATTTTACTATAATTCAATTACTATGATGTTTATTATAATTTATTTTGTGTAGTTGCCACTTTTTCTCAAATCTCACCAAACTGATTTCTTTTAACGATGTGTCAAAATATCAATATTTAATTATTATATTAAAAAAAAAATTTTGACACTCATACAGTTTAAGAAATGAACATAAAACATATTTTTTAACAAATTAATGAAAGTCATTTGTAGCCAATATAAGCTAATACGTTATAAGGCATAAATTACAAAATAATAATAATAAATAAATAGATAAATAATAATTCATAAAATATATAAAATTAGAAAAAAGAACAAAAATTATTTTTTTAATTCATTTATTGTGGCTAATAATAAAAGAATTACCCTGTATACAACTTCATAAATTTTTATAACTTCTCCTTCAAAAGTTACATTACTAAATTATTAAATTATCAACTTCATATAAATTTAATATGAATTACTATATTAAGTATATATATACAATAGATCATTTGCGTCTAGTATTATTTAAAATTAAAACTATACTAAAAATATTAATTTCAAACTAAAAAATATTAAAAATATTAAACTCAAAAAGCCATAGACAATTTACTAAAAATCTACAAATTAATATCGGAAGGCTTCTTGTGATAGTGATTTTAATTAGTATGAAATATTATCTGTAGTTTTTCCCACTGTATCACGACCTTATTGTTCGAGGTTATTTTTATTTTGAAGATTATTCAGCATGTCTCAAAGAAATACTCTTATCATGTTTAAAATCCAACAACAAGATACTGAACCAAACTAATAAACCATTTCTATATAGTTGTTTTTTTTATAGAACATTAAATACTTCTATAAAATTTGACCGGTAAAAACTTGAATAAAAACACAATAAGTCATTTTAAACTATATTGTTCAAACAGTGTGAATCGTGATCATTTGTGAATAATAATTTTTACACTGATTTTTAGCTTATAAGTAATTTTTCGGAATTAAAACTTATGTCTAGAAAAATAGAGTACAATATGAAAAGACTCATTTACATAATTAAAAGAACATTAAGGATGGTATTATTAAAAAGACATGCTAATAATATTTAAAAAATGTAAACATTTATTAACATATTTACACTATAACTACCCTTTAATAAAATAAAATAATTATTTTTGAAATGTTTTTTTTGGCTTATTTTTGAAATGTCCTTGATTATTTATTTTATTTATTAAGTTATTATTATGAAATAATCAATTATATTTTTAAATATATCGTTAAAGTAATGAACTAAATATCAAACATATTTTTACTCATTATTAAAACATTTAATGAAAATTGATATGAATATTTTTTTTGTTTTTTTTTCAAAACAATTGATAAAATGTTATAATTCATTTGATTTTGCCAAAATTAATTTTCTTTTTTAATTTCTCTAAGTTCTTAAGCTTAATTATATCAGATTTGATGACGAATTTATGATGTGATCGCTGTGGCGGCTTATCCATAGCGATCTGAGGTCTATGTCATTCAAATAGTAGTAAGTCTTCTTCGGAATTTTTCTCTGATATCAGCAGTGTTTTGCATAACTTCTGATCAAGTCTCAAGTCAACAAACGAATTACATGATTCCATATGGTGTTCATTTTCAAATAAATCGCATGTTTTATTTTCAAACAATCCAACTGAAGTGTTTTGAAAATCTCGAGGCTTGGTCGGACTTAATAAAGTCACCATATCACCATCTATTATTTCTGAATCAAAAAGATCATTTCCTTGAATCTCGGCATAAGTAGCAGCTCCAAATCTACAGTAATTAGTAATTTTTTACTTATAATGTACTAAAATGCAATAAATCCAACTTTTTGATATTAGTGCAAATAAAAAGTTATTATATTGGATATAATATTATAAAATGAAAGTACAAATATTTTTTAAATTATTTATGTAATTTCATACTGTGATTCTTAATCAAGCCAGGCGTTATTTGCATGATAGTAATTATTATTATTAATTAGTAATGTATGGTAATAATTATTATAAATTAATTACTAATGAAATATTTTTTGTTTAATCATGTTTCCATTAAGTTATCTTAGTAATTAACTTTTAATGATGAATGAAGGAACTGTATAAAAGTATCAAAATTTAGATAGAATTGAAACCTAAAAATAACATTGTTTATGTTGAAATATAATTTCCTGATGAATTTTATAATCTTATTACTGAAACAAAATTAAATCGAAGTGTTAGCTTGAGATTATACGGCAGAGTATACTGAAAAAAGTTATTATTTTATGAAATTAATGTTAGTGTTTGTACGCAGGCATTGACATAATCTCATTTTAAAAATCAAAATCGACATTAGATGATGACACTAATGGTTATTATAAAATTACATTTTATAATTTATATTATAACATGAAATGTATAATGTAACACATCAGACATGAAAAATTTGTAATTTTATAAGACAGGAACTGCAATAATCTCAAGAAAATTAATAACATTGATATTCGTGTCACCCAAACATGTAATATCAAATTTTTTAGCCTTCAATTTTCAGTATTGAAACATAATTTGACTTAATGTTATGGAAAACAAAAAATTTTTAAATTAAAATCACATTTCTAAGAATTTCTAAGAAAATATCTCAATTTCATATTCTACAATATAATTAATAGCATTTTTAAAACATATTAAAAATTAAAAAAAATAAACAACACATATTTAATATAAAAATGTATAGTTTACTTTCGTTTTTCGAATTTATATTTATTTAGTTATGTTCCGCAGCGTTATTATACAAAATATTATCTCTAGTTATTAAAAATAGGTAAGTCGGAAATATATTCAATTACTCTAACTCTTATTATAAAGCTAGCTTTCTTTTCTTTTCTTGTTTTGTCAGAAGGAATATGAAATTCCCGGAATTTCTTATATTAGTTTAGTTGAGTGTTCATATTATGTCAAGTACTTGCTTGTTATTATTATTTTTAATTGTAAAAATGTAACATATGAGTTTTAGTATAAGTAATTTTAAAAAAAAATTAATAAAGAAACAATATTAATGTGTCATATAACTACCATTAAAAATACTTGACAAATTTTACTATTTTCATCATTTTATATGTTAATGACAAATAATAATTCCATATAAAAATACAGGAAATTATACTGTTTTCTCTAAAGTTGTTACTTTTTTTATACCTATTATTAATTACATTATATGTTTAAAGATAAATATCGATCAGTTATTTTTATGTAAATATACGTCTTCATCTATATTAATACTAGGATTATTCTATAAACTTGGATTGTATGATCTATATCCTGTTTGAAGCGGATGATATTCTAACATTACAAAATCAGTATAATTAGTTAAATACTATTAGTAAGATTAGAAATTGATAACCTTTATAAAGCTGGAGTAATTCTTATCCTGCATTTACCATGAGGTTTAAAATAATTAAAATCTAGGTGAGTGTATAAATAATGTAAACTTACATATAGATGATGTCATAGATCATTTTAACAATAGCTGTAAAATAATCAAAAAGGAACACATGTAGTTTTTATACTGATAACTTTTAGCTTTCTTAAAGTGATTTTTTTGCTCTTATCGGGTAAATTAATCCTATTAAAATTATTTACATCAATTTAAAAGGTATTTAAAATTAAAATTTAATATTTTTTAAATAAAAAACTTACTTAATAGACAAGTAAAATTTTTGGCTACTATGTTATAGTATTTTTATATAAATATAAATATTTCAAAACTCATTTTTAAACTACTTGGATAAAAATAGTCCACATAGCATAAAAACGAGAATAATTGAATTGAAAGTAATCTATTTGAAGTCAATATCGATAAACTTTTACTTAATATATATTTATAACAAATATATAAAAACTATATATATACAAAACGGCGTTTTGTATAGGCAAAATAGATACAAAACTGTGTTGAAGACTATAGTGTTGTTTTAACTTATTAATTTTCAATATTCAATTATAAAATAATAATATTTATAGGATTAAAACGAATTTTTAACGCTACAATAAGGTATTTAAAGTTTATTAAAAATAATAAAATTACGTCACTTAATTCATGTTAAATACTTAAGATTAGTTTATTAGAATTGTAATTTAAAAAACTCGTATAGGTTTTTAGTAATATTTTAATTCTTATGATTTTAATATAGAAATATCATAGCCTATTGGTTTGTGGAAGTGTTTTATTTATGCTAAACTATATAAAGATAAATGAATAATTGTAGTTTCTAGTTACAAAAGTGAATGATTCGATAAACTGGTGATTAAAATTTTACGTATAAACGTTTAGCTGTGGCATTTTAATTTATTAATTATAATTGAAATTGTGATTTTTTCAATGTTATAATAGAATAGCATAAAATCAATAAAGGTAGGTAAACACTATATAATAGTAGAATAAGAAAAGTTCAACAAAATTCCTCCATGAATATTTTGAATGCAAAATTAAAATGAATATTTAAATTTTTAACACAAACTTCATTCATAAAAACAATTCCACAATAACATAATTGTTAAATGATATTTTTACCTTTCTCTCCATTTAAAACTTTTTAGTTGCTTCTGTAATTATGTAGACTCAATAACTTTTCACAGGTTCTTATCAAATTCTTAATATTTAAATAAATTATCAGATTATGCACTATAAATATACATTAGTACGCGCTATTTCCTCCTACTATACGTATTGAAATGTTTGTAACTCATTAATTACTTATTCTATAATTGTTATTGACCCACCAAATTTTTTTATTAGAAACTGGATAAAAAATAGATATTTAAAATTTTGAAAAAATAAAATTTATTATTATTATTAAAAACAAATAATAAAAAATATGATTTTAATGTAGTGAGAATGTATAAATTATTTAAAAAATAAGCAACCTAAAATATTTAGTAAATCAAAAGTTTTTAGATTTAACAAAACATCTACTCTGTATATGACCGAAATATTATAAGGTAAAATCATTTACTAAAAAGATATATTTTTATGGCTCATTTTCTTTTTGGTTTTTTAACTAAAAGCTTACATTAAAAAAAAAATGTATGTGATTTTCTAAACTAAAATAACTTTTTAAAAATAACGATTTTCTATGTAAATTGGCGTTATTGATCTCAATTAAAACCATTAAGAGTTATTATTTTATAGTGATTTTCAAATATGTGCATTTCTTCGAATTTAGAGGCATACAAAGTTAGGAATTTTATAAAAATATATGTGTTCTAGGTGCATTATTTCTGCCGGGGGACCTAATTTCAAAAAAATTTTAATTTTCTAGTTATATATCTGTTTAATACACTATAGAAATTTGAAGTTTGAGAAAAAAGGGTAATATGTTAAATATAGCATTAGAAAATCAGTAAAAAACAGCTTTGAAAAAAAATAACTTAATGTAAATTTTTTTTTGTTTTCAAACCATGTTTTTGTAATTATTTTTCATATTATTATACATGTAATTATGTATTACAATACATTACAATTATTATATATGTTATATTTTTTTAATTCATTATTATAGTTGCAAAATAAAAAGTTAATTAAATAAATTATTATGATAATATCACAAAATATTTTAATGAATAATTTATTTATTCTAGTATTTAGAGTATTATGTCTTAATAAATATTAGTTTCTAACTTTGACCCCTATCAGAAAAAACTGTAATTACTATTTAATTGTGGATTTATTAAATATATGGTAACAACTTCACATTAAATTTATAAAAATAGTTTCTATAAGGTTTTTGTTTTATATACAAAAAAAAAATATGTAATAAGTTTAGTTTTCAACAAACAAAATTAAATTATTATCTTTACATAATACTTTACATGTATTATACTTTATTATCAATAGATACTTATGAATAAATTTTCCGTAAATGTTTTAAAATATGTTATTCAGATATTTTACTTGGATCAACTGTAACTTAATCCCTATGTTTTTTTATGACATTTTTTTTTTTATTTGGCTATATCCAATGGTTTTATCAGCAATTTAATGAATTATTTAAAGGTTAGAATTTGGATTTTTACTTTTTGTGGTGTGACGTATCAGTGAAACAGTGAACGCATGTCATAATTAGTAAAATAAATGCAAAGTTCAAGAAACATGTAACAGCAATAATGACAAGTACTTCGTTGGTTGTATAACACATACTGACAGGTGTCGCTTGTAAATGACTTTTCGTGGTCGTCACGTTGGTATATGGTAATAAATGCATAGCACTTTGCTGGGTTTCATCAATTCGCAATTGACCGGGTGGTGGCATTTTATGATGGTTTCTGTAGTGTCGCACTACGTGTCCATCAACACCGCTGTTCATTACCCTCAGTGTACATTCATTGTTTTTTAAGAGCTTGACAGTTCGACAAATTATTTTGAACCTATAAAATCCCAAATATCAATTAAATCAAACAAATACTATTTAATATTTGATTACTCCTTTTGAATTAAAAAAATAAGAAATTTCACTATGACGTTATAGCATTTAGTGTAAATGAATAATTGGACACTTCTGCATAATACCAAAGTAAAATTAATTTTTTAATCATTTTTCTTATAGTAATATTACAATAGAATTATATTAAATAACATGGAGGTTATTCACTTCTTTATCTAAATTTTAAATAAGTAATTTTATTCTTTATCTAAATTTTAAAGTTACAGCCAATAGTGATCTCTATTAATATGGCACCACAGGCAATTGCACAATATATTCATAATATTAATTTATAAAAAAATTATATAAACAATTTTATATGATGAAAAAATTAATAAATATTTAATAATAGAATACTATTTATTTACAATTTTTCTAACTTTACGAGATCCAAGAATTTTTTATTATTAAAACACAAAATAAAAAATTTAAACACAAGCTTATTACTATAAGACGTTTCGATTTAATCTCAACAGTTAAAGTTTTACCATTATTTTAGAAAAATAACTTCTAGTAAACAATATTTTAAATATTAAAAATAAAAAAATTTATTGAAGAGAAAAATGTAGACATTTTAATTATTGCTTTAAGTGTTTAATATTTTCTCTAAACTAATATTATAGCTACAAAAACAAAAAATAATGAAAATACTACAAAAGGCCAAAAAAATATCTACGATTGATTTTGACAAAATATTATTTTCATTTTTAAGAAACACAATTACTAGTGATAGTACACATACAATACATACATTAAAATTTTATTAAATATTTATTATATTCTAAAGTATATATTAAATAAGTTTAAAATCATTATAAACCATTATAAAATGGATGAATTTTATATTTTCATAACTGTTAGGTTATTTTTTTTAATTAAGTGTTTCAAATTTGTTCATGAGGCAAATAAATTTCAAGAAGAATTAGAATTGTATTTTATTTATAGAGCTTTATATCAATCAACCCATAATACACGAATTTTAAAATTTATTGAATTTTGTTTAATTATGTTTAAATCTACGGGATGCTAGATCATTAAACACTCTTGTATGACATATATTTTTTAAAATGATTATGGCTCTGTGGGATTTGCTCAGTTGGATATTAGTCTATTGTTGGTTAATGAAAATTTCAACAAAAGTTTGAACTAGTACTGTCAAGTACAAAAAAAAATATTGTGAAGGCTGACGGTTTTATTAATTTAAAGGCCCAGAGACCTTATAAATCACTCTGTAGACCTTTATTCAAGATCTACAAAATTATCGTTTTATTGTAAACCACTGAATTACTCACAACAAAAAGTACAATATTGAATAAAAAATTGTAATTACAAAATTTTCTATTCTATAAGTTAAATAAATATGTATGTTACCATTTCAGAAAATTAAGTGACGTCACTATACATTATAAGGAATGATCCTAAAACGTAATTAATAGCTAATAAATCATAATACATCTAGAAGGTATCATTTCAATTTTTATTTAAATATTATTCAGAATTAGCTTACATTAAAGTTTAGAGTCTATGCTAATCTTAGTTATTTTTAGTGATTGAATTTACTAGGTATATTAATAAGAGCAATTCTTATCTCTTTGACATATTCAATAATGTGACTAAATTGAATTATGAAGCTTCAGTAAATTCTGTTGACCTGTCACTAGGTCACCTGTATGATTTTGTTGCAGTGTTCACAGAACGCCAGTTACTAAGCTTTTGGTTAGATAAACAAAATTAANTTCACAGAACGCCAGTTACTAAGCTTTTGGTTAGATAAACAGAATTAATATTTTAACTTATTTTCTATTATTTTTGTCGTTCTTTTTAATAAGATTACGTTTATTATTCAATTAAGGGTTTTTATTTTCTTTTAAATGTGTAAAAAATAAAGTGACGTACCTATATATTATAAAGAATAATCCTAAAACGTAATTAATAGCTTATAAATCAAGAAATTAATGCAACTAAAAAAAATCAAACATTTTTTTCCAACAATGTATTTATTTGAGAGTAATCCAGTGTATATAATAAATCGATCATTCTGTAAACTCTTTACTAAACAAAAGGTGGTGAATTCGTCTTTACTAGATTCTTAATAAAAATTCAAGTAACTTTGAAAAATGATAATATCAAAACCTACAGTAGTTTTCCTGAATATAAATATTAATTATTAAAACACAAACATATTAGTTCCAAATTTTTACAAATTTGTTTTAAAGACGAAATAAATAATAATAAAAAAGTACAAAAATAGAAATTAAAAAAAGGTTTTAAGCTAATTAGAAGAAAAAACATTAAATCTAATAAAAAAAAAAATAATTAATACTATAGCCACTCTTAAAAACAAAATAGTAATAAAACATTTACTGCTATCAACCTATTTCAAGATTTAATTTAATTTACCAGTTAATGTGTTTTTTCTAATTCTTTTCTCTTAAATAATTACTATCAAGGTTCCACCATAAATTATTACTGATTAAAAATATTAAAGAAACATCTCAAGATTGTAAATTTTTGTTGCTTTATAATTGAATATATTTAAAATAAACATATCATAATTTTTTTAACCTAAAAGCACATGAAATATATTTTTGATAAAATATTGGATTATATAATGTGAATTATAATGTTATAACCTTATTTCTCATCATGCGTGATGTGTTCTAAGACTTGATCATAATATTTTATCTTTCAACAATAAATTAAGTATACAAGGTGTTTAGATGTACATAAACTGCTTAATACAGGTTTTCAGCAAGTAAGCATTGTTCAGCATTGTTACAAACAATGAGAACAATAGAAATCCGTTTCCTTACTTACTGAACACCCTATATAATCTAACCTCAAGTACAATTTAACATAGTATGTATATATTTAATACGACGAATAATTATGAAATCACATAATATTAATTTATATTTTTACAGAATACTCATAAAAAATTCATTGACTAATTTAAGTTTAAGTTTAATTTGAACTATAATTTAAACGATATTTTTGATATCTATTTTAACTTTCTTTAAAATTTCTATTATAAAGTTTTATCATTAACTTAAAAGTTATGGTTGGTTGCTAAAACTAAAAATAATTCATATAATTAAGCCAAAATAAATTGTTTAGAAACTGTTAACCTACAACTTATAAGTAAAATAATAAGAACTTGTAAGTCTAGAAGCTTTTTAAAATGGTACATTTACAGTAAATTACAATAGCTAGAGATGTAACTGAGCCTGTGTAAAGCTGTAATAACGGTTGAAGCATGAATAAGACTTTAAAAAGTTCATATAGCCTAAGTGTATATAAAAGTAGATTTCCCCGTTGTAACGTACCTCAAACAATTCCATAAACGCCTAGTCATTTAAATTTAACTTAAAATGAACTTTATAGTATTTACTGCAACTATAAATGGTCATGGCTTAAAAGCTCTAGAACAAAACAAAAACAACGACATACAACATAATATAGCGAGTGATCCCTGTAAGGAGTTAAGTTAAGAAAAAACTTAAATAATTAAATTTTTTTCAATTAAATAGTAAAAAAAAAACAACTACAAGGCATTTCAAAAGTCAAATAACAAGTGTATAGTGTGTTAGAATAAGACCATGTTGTTATATTTTACTTTTTCCGTGTCACTACGATACTAAAGTTGTATGGTGAATTGTATACATTTGCTTTACTCGAAGGAAACGAAATTTATTACCAGATTTGTCCCTTTTACAACTTTTAAATGAACCATACTTTTTGACCAGAAAATAACATATTACGTATGACTTATCTTATTTTTTCAGAAAAAACGGCTACATAACTTTTTTAATATTAATTATTTTTAATTTAATATAACGTTTTAAGGTTATATAAGTATTCACATACGTTCATTCGTGTGTATGATAGTACAGATATTTGTATTTTATAATTATAATTGAGGTTTTTTTTTTACAAATTTAATATATAGTTATAAAAAACCTTAAATTATTATGAATTGTTATACATGTACATTGCAATTGGTATGAAAGAGCACATGTACCATAAACGTACCATTAAAAAGTCATTACTTTACATTTACAAAAAATGTAATTTGCAGAAAATAAATGGAAAGATATTTTTTTCAAACTTATCAAAAATTACTTAAATTAGGGTATATATGGTTTTTCTTTGACTTCTAAAAAGTTAAAAACATATTCTTAAACATTATGTTTTATTTATTCCTTGGCTGTATTTTAAAATGAGAGTAATATATAAGAACAAACTATATTTTGTACTAAGACGACTGTAGAATGAAGATAACATAACGATACTATATTTATTTTATTCCGTACCCTTTAATTCGTTGAAGACAAAGACAATATATACTTTTTGATTATTGCTCAACTGTACGAGAAAAAGGCAATAGCCGTAAATATCAGAAGTGCTTCAGAAGTGAAAACTATGAAATGCACAAAACACAAAAAAAAAAATACAACTTTTTAAACCTTAAAAGGTAAACGCTTTAAGGAAAGAGATAAGGAAATACCCATTACAACAGATGCTTGCTTTTCAGATTTTAAGTCAATTGATATAATTTATAAATACATCATATATTTTCTAGGTAAAAACGTCGAAGATAAAAATGACCCTTGGAAATAATATTCATATATAAAAATATTTTAATGCAAATATTCCGTATAATATACTACAGTTCATTGATATATGGGCCAAATATATCCATTTAACTTAAAAATAATTTTTCTATATTAAATATTTTAATAAAATAGCATTATTTTGATAATTGTATTCCGGGACGAATATAGACTTTTGCGAATTCGGGGCATATTTTTGGGGGTCTATGCAAGAAAACATGAATGCATTAAAACGGGCATCAAAAATATTAGATTCCAGTTTTCTATATTTTGGGCACTGGCACAATGAGGGGAGCTGAACCGATCTTTACAATCCCAATAGTTTCATTCT